AGTCCCACCAAGGGGCCTACCTCTAGAGGGGTGAAGTCGTGGTTGACCAAGAACGCCAGGATAGCCGTGGGAATGACGAGGAACTCTACCCTGAACGTGTCATGGTTCCCATCATAAGTGGCTTTGAACTTGCTATAAATCATCCAGACTGTGGTGAAGGAGCAGGCTATGTAGACCACCTGAGTGAGGAAAGGGGGAACGATGAGGGGGAACCCCCAATAGGCTCAGATCCAGGAGTCTGAAAGCCCAGGCCCCCAGGCCCTCTCCCCTCAGACCTGAAAGTCTGAATCCTATACTTGGCTCCTGCACCCTAGGGCAGCCTAGAGATGGAATGGAGCCCTTACCTTCATACATGTGTTGTAGAGTGAGATGTAGTTGGTAAAGAGGTCCAGATATCTGGCAGTGAACACCACAGCAAACAGGACCTGACTCTTCCCTGAAATCCCTGTGGCCCAGAGAGAGAAAAGAGAAGAAAGAAGAGAGAGAGGAGGCTAGGGTGGGTTGCACGGGCTATAAAACTGAAGCACAGTGCCTGGGACCAGCCTGGAGGTGGCTCTGGAGTGCAGCTGTCCCTAGAGGCCTCCCCAGCCCGCCCTCCTGAGCAGGGCACTTTCCCACAGCCCACAGCCAGGGGGCAGCCCATGCCCCCGAAGCTACTCCAGCCCGAGGCTCTATCCCAAGCTAGGCCTCACAGCCACCTCTGTCCCCCTGAGAGTCCACCACCAACCTAGACCCGAGGCTGAACCTAGGGAGGACCCCACCTGATCTTGGCCCCCGGGATCCCGTCACCTCCCTCCTGCTCCCTTCCTGGCCGCCACGGTCCACGTCACCAACTCCCAGCCACCACCCCGCCTGCCATGGCTCCCTGTTCTTAGTCCCTGAAAGAACCCTCGGGCTGCCCAGATTGGGAGGCTGAATTGGGGCCTGGAGCCACCTCCACTAAACTGTTTGCTCCCCTTCAGTCAGGGGAAGGGAGCTGACCCCCTGGCGACCCAAAGCCTGGTGGAAAGATCCCCCAGCAAGCAGTGGGGGGACTAGTGCCCCCAAACCCTTTCCCAAGTCCTGGGACGTCCCCCACTCCCGCAGTCTCTCCCCTTCTCCCACCCAGGTGGGTCTCTCACCAGCACACGAACGAGACTTCCAGATTTTGAGCAGTAGCAAGATGATGGCCAGGAGGTGGGAGAGGTCTCCCAGGAATCGGAAGAGATTCATGGCTGGGGGCCTCTGGCAGGGCTGAGCGGGAGCGAGGCAGGCTGGCGGGGTTCTGCACCCCCGGAGGCTGCTGTTCTGGCCCGGCAACGGGCTCAGAGGGGAGAGAAAGGAACCTCGGGTGGGCTCCGCTCCGGGGAGGGGGGAACCTGGGAGGGGGAGCCGAGGCCAGACCCGGCGGCCGCGCAGGAGCGGGGAAGAGGGAGGCGGACCGGAGGAGGAGTCCGGTTGGGGAGGCTCCGCCCCTGGGGGCGGGGTCGTGAATCTCTGGCGCCCCCTGTCGCCCACCACATGCCTTGCAGAGGCAGCGCTGAATGCACCCTCAAGGCTGCCTCTTGAGAACTCGCAGGTCATTGGGTACTGAAAGTCCCAAATCCAGCACCTGCCTCCCCAGGCAGTCTGTGTCTCTGTAAGGGACTCAGTCCAGGCGCTCGGACTCTGCCCTTAACAAGGCTTCGGGAAGCTGACCTATGAGCTTTAAAAATCCTGGCCAGGTCAGTCACTGTGGCTCACACCCTTAATCCCAGCACCCTGAAAAGCCATGGTAGGAGGTTCACTTGAGGCCAGGAGTTGGAGACCAGCCTGAGCAGGAGTGAGACTACATCGCTACAAGAAATAGAAAAATTAGCTGGGCTTTCATGGCACATGCTTGTAGTTCCAGGTACTCAGGAGGCTGAGGTAGGAAAATCCCTTAAGCCCATGAGTTTGAGCTCTCCGTGAGCTATGACAACGCCACTGCATTCTAGCCTGGGTGACAGAGTGAGAACCTATCTCAAAAAAGATAAAAATAAAACTGAAAATCCTGGACAGGGACCCAGAAGCTAGGCTGCAAGCTTCTGCCACTTTCAGGGGCTTTTGGCTCCAATCCACCCAAAAGACAAGGAAGCATCCCCAGTCCCTCTTCCCTCAGACCCAGGGGTCTAGGCCCCAGCCTCCTCCCCTCCCCAAACCCCCTTCCTTGTAACTTATACTCCCACCCCCAACCATCTCATGTACCAAGCATCCTGGCCTCAGGAATCTAGATCTACAATCCCCTCCTTTTTTTTTTTTTTTTTTTTTTTGCAGTTTTTGGCTGGGCTGGGTTTGAACCCACCACCTTTGGTATATGGGGCCGGCGCCCTACTCCTTGAGCCATAGGCGCCACCCTCCCCTCCTTTTTCTAAGACCAACAAATTCAAGCCCTAACTTGTCTTTTTCAGCTATGTGAGCTTTTGCCTCTGCCCTTCCAGACCTTAGGGATGAAGGAAGTAGGAATCCTACCTAGTAAGCTCAAGGCAAAAATCCTGAACCCAAACTACACCCAAGAAGCCCACAGCCCTGGCTTCAAGCACCTGCTCCAGAGTTCCAGAATTGTCCCCCCTATACATCACACACACACACACACATTCCCAGGCTCCACACTCAGGGGCCCAGGTGTTCTGTTGTACTACACTCCATCCCAGAGCTGCATGGGTGGCTTTGTAGAAGTGCTGGGCCCAAGCTCCGTGCCTGTAGCTCAGTGGCTAGGACGCCAGCCATATACACTGGAGCTGGCGGGTTGGAATCCAGCCTGGGCCTGCCAAACAACAATAATAACTCCAACCAAAAAATAGCCAGGTATTGTGGTGGGCGACTGTAGTCCCAACTACTTGGGAGGCTGAGGCAAGAGAATCGCTTAAGCCCAAGAGCTTGAGGTTGCTGTGAGCCGTGATGCCACAGCACTCTACCCAAGGCGACATAGTGAGACTCTATTGCTTAAAAAAAAGAAGAAGAAGTGCTGGGCCTTACCTCTCTAGCAGCAGGAGCAGGATGGGCAGCTGGCCTTGAAGCTGGCCTTGTAGGATCCTCAAGGGGACAGGCTACGTCTGTGAGGGGGCAGATGCTGATTGCCTTCTGGATCTTGGGTACCTATGGGTAATGGCAGCCAGGTCCCACAATAAAAAAAGGGTACAAAGTATTGGTTTCTTCAAAGGGATGGACTGACTGCATACCCAAGCACTGAAGGTGGCTTGTGCTTGGGGACACTCAGGATGCCTGAGTCCCTTTTAGGTTCCAGATTCCTGGTGGAGAAGGGACTGAGGTAGGAGGATATTTGGGGCCTGGAACCCTGGGTCTGAAGGAGGGATGGGTGGGGGCCCAGACTATGGAGTCTACCAGGGAGAACCAGTATACAGGCTTAGCCTTCTGGGGCAATAGAAGCCAGATGATGGGTATTGGCATGGCCGACACTGAAGTCAGGGAAAGGCCTATTGCTTCCCCAGCCTCAAATGGGGACGGGGCAAACGGCAACAACCCCCAGTCTGAGGCTGCTGTCTCCATATCAGGTTCTGAGTCTCTA